ATATATAATCTATATATAATAGAAGCTATAACTAATTAAGATTGCATTTATATGGAAGAATAAGAAAAAATGAAATATATAGAGGGACTTACAACACTTGCTAAGTCAAGGAAGAAGGAGAAAGATTGAGTTCCGGTGGTCTCTATATGCCACGATCCCACAGTTGTCTTCTCGAGTAGCTCTAATCATTACTATGTCGTAAGAATTTGATCACTAAGCCAATGGTTTCGGGCAAAACTCTGAGAGAGGGAGAAGGGAGATATGAGGGTTTTAGTGGGCACAGAAAGAGGTAAGGGAGAGGCGAGTCTGGCCCTAACCTTGGCATCAGCCCACCCTAAATAGCTGAGAGAGGCAGTAGGTCGATTGGATTAGGAAGTCTGCGTAATAGAGCAGAAAGAAGAGAAAGAAAAGACTCATGATTTAGGATGTCAGTAAAGTCACCAGCAAAAAATAAAAAGAAAGACAAAAAAATCAAGTGCTTACATACTACGGTTCTTAAAAGAATTTGGTCATCGAATTCAAATCTTAGTTCTAGAACAGCTACGGGTACTTTAGGATCAACTCTTCTTCAATTTCTCAATTCGCTTCTCATTCTGACTGGTTCTTCCAAAGTACTTTATGAAAAGAAAATGATCGTTGGTGAAGTTGAACTTCACGTTCCAAGATGTGATATGGTATTTCTTCATAACTCGGGTCTTTTAGAATCTCCAATAGCTCATAACGGATAATACGAGAGTCATCATACACATAACACTAAAGGTAGAGAGACATGAAAGACATTGTGTACTCTTGCAAGTCTAGGAAGAAGAGCCAACCTATACGAAACTCTATCAACTTTCTTGATCACCTCATTGACCAATGAAATGAAGTTGAAGCTTTCCAATCTGTCTAAATGGTGTAACTTTGCGCATAGACAAAACTTTCAGAAAAATGTGATCTTCGATATTGAATTTAATCTATATGTGCTTTGGGTTGAAGTACTTCCCTATGCCAAACGTATTCTATCTAGAATATGACAAACCTTCTTGGTAGCTTGGTCATTAGTTGAGGTCAAAATATTCATCTCTCTTTGACCTTAAACCAACATAAGGGAGATCTACACTTTTTGTCATAAAATGTGTTGTATGGTGCCATGTTGATACTAGCATGAAAGCTATTATTATAAACAAACTCTACTAATGGAACATAGTCCTCCCAACTTCCTTTGAATCCAAAATACAAGATCTCAATATGTCTTGTAAGGTTTGAATGGTGTGTTCTGACTATCCATTTTTCTGAGGATGAAAAGAAATACTGAAGTCCAATCTCGTGCACATAGCTTCTTGCACTCGCTTCCATAGCTTGGAGGTAAATATTTCATCTCGATCTGACACAATTACGTTTGGAATTCCATGTAGTAGAACAAAGTTATCTATGTAGACTTCAGAAAATTTATCCATAAATAGATCTACTTAATTGATAGAACATGAGATGTCATAGTTTATAAACCACAACTCAAATAGCATCATGTTATTGCTTCAATTTGAGGAAGACAAACATGAAGTCCATGGAAAACTTCTCCCATTTCCACTTTAGAAGGGGAAGGGGTTGCAATAGGCCACCAAGTCTTTGGAATTCCACCTTAAACATCTAACGGGTCAAACACTTGAGTACAAACTCAACCACAGTGGTTCTCATACCCAACGACCAAAATAGCTTTTTAAGATCTTGATACATCTTATTATGTCCCAGATGAACAAAACATGGAGTAGAATGTGCCTCCAATAGTATACTCTATTGAAGTCGTTCTTAATTTAGAACATGCAACCGATCCTAAAATCCTAAAGTGTCATCTTGATCAATACTAAACTTAAGCTTCAATATATTCCTTATTTTCTCTCTAAGCTCTAGTAAGTTTGTATTCATCATCTAAGTTGTGCAAATACATTCCACAAATATAGCCTGAACTGGTAGTTGAAATATGATAGAATTAGCTCTTATCAGTATTATCTCGAGTTAGATTCACCCCATCTCTCATGCTAACTCGTGCTGTTGAGTGATCATCCAAGCTACATTCGTTGAAAATTTTCTACTCAAGGCATCTGCGATTGTGTTCAAATTACCGGGTGGTAGTACTGGATCTCTAATCATATTTCTTCATCAACTCAGGCCATCATGTTTGCCTCAAGTTCAACTCCTTTTGAGTGATAATATACTTTAAGCTCTTAAGATCTATGAAGATCTCACAAGAAACACCATAAATGTAGTGCCTCCAAATCTTTTGTGCAAATATAACTGTAGTTAACTCCAAATTGTGGGTAGGATAATTCCTTTCATCACTTTGAATTGTTTAGAGACATAAGTTACAACTCTACCATGTTGCATTAGAACACATCCAAATCCATGATGTGAAGCATTGTTGTAGATTTTAAATTCATGTCTGACAAAGGGGATGGCAAGAATTGGGGTTGTCACCAAATAATGCTTGAGTTTCTAAAAACTCTACTTACAAGCATCGTACTAATCAAACCTAGCAGCCATCAGAGTTAATCTTTACAAAGGTGTCGTAATAAAAAAGAAACCTACAACAAATCTCTTATAATATCTAGCTAATCTAAAGAAACTACCAATCTTGATGATAGTGCCCAGCCTAAACCAATCTATTATTTCCTTAATCTTTATAAGATCATCAAAAAGTACAACTTCACTAATAATTTCCCAAAAATCACACTTTTCGAAGCTAAAGTTCACATCTAGAGAATTTGGTAGAAAGTTTATTCTCTCAAAGAGTATGTAGTGCTACTCTAAGATATTAGGTGTTCTCTTCTTCATTTTTGAAGTAAACCAAAACATCATCGATGAAGATAATGATTAATCAATCCAAGTAGGGCTTGAAAACTCTATTCATCAAATTCATAAAAGTGGCAGAGGCACTAGTCAAACCAAATGACATTACTAAAAACTCGTAGTGCACATATCAAGATTGAAAACATTCTTCAAAGCATCTTCATTCTTGTTCTTCAATTAATCGGGTTATTGAGTATTTCTTCAATCAACCCGAAA